AGGAAGTCATATTTAATGTAGAATTTTATTTTAAAATGTTTAACATAAAGTCCAAAAAACATCATTTTATATACACTTCTGTTCTTCTTCTTTATTTCTGCCATGATTATGGAAATAATGGAAGAAAAGAAGAAAAGAGGGTCAACTTGGAGCATCTTCATGCATGCGGACGGTGTGGATGTAGTGTTGATGACCTTTGGTTTCATCGGAGCCGTTGGTGATGGCTTCTCAATGCCGATTACTTTTGTCATCACTAATAAGTTAGTGAACCATATTGGCACTTTTTCCAGTTTCATTTCTCCTCAAGCATTTACCAAAATTATTAGCAAAGTTTGTTAATTGCTATTTTCAAGATTCATTTCCACTTATTTATGCAATCTTTTTTTTCATTATTAACTAAGTTAATTTTGAAAAGATGTACTGAAATTTTCATTGTGTTTTTTTTAAATTTTTTTTTTTTAACTTAATCTCTCGCTGTAAGTTGAGCACATAATGTTTCTATGGATAATTATGTTGGTACTTGACCTTTGAACTATAGCTAATTATGCCTTAGGCTCTGTTTATTCTAATGGAGACATTTTTATATCATTTTCTAAAGAAAGCAATTCTTAATAACTAAAAAGTTAAGTTGATGGGTGAAACTCACGATCAATTTATATACTCTATCAAAAAGAATTCATTTGTTTGTTTGTATGGGAAAACTTATGGAAAAACACTAACTTTAATACTTTGTTAGTGTTTTAGGGCCCCTGACACCATGGGGTTACTCGGTCAGTGTTATAGGAGTTACTTGGTTATCAATATAGGGGTTACTCGATCAATGTTGTAGGGGTTATTTGATCAGTGTTGTAGGGGTTACTTTGTCAGTGTTTTAAAGCTACTCAATAAATATATAAGGGGTTACGTTATTAGTTTTTATACTGGTTACTTCGTCTTTTACAACCGGTCACACTGTGAGTCACACAGAAAATGCGCTATTGGAAAAAATAGAGAAGTGTAGAGTATATAGAAAAATGTGTCATACATTCTCTATAGATGGAAAGCGATTTGCCTTATCAAAGAATCTGGTAATAAAAGAAGTGTAGAGTATAGAGGAAAATGTGCTATACATTCTCTACAGATTATAGAGTAACAAAATCACTCTACAAATTCATAGATTAATTTGTTACTCTACGAAATCACTCTACCTTGAATTCATATAGTAACAAAATCACTCAACAAATTCTTACTCTAAAAATCACTCTGCCTTGAACTTGTTACTATACTCTACACTCATACTCATACTTGAGTAGAGTAATTTGCCACATTGAATGTAGAGTATAGAGCGAGAATGTAGAGAAGAATGTGTCATACACCTTGAATTTGCAACCTTTTTCCAATCCCTTAGTAGTAATTTAATCTCAAAACAAATTAACTGTTCTTTTTTAGTGTAACAAATTGTTGAGAAAATGAAGTGGAGTAACTATTTTCAATTATCATATGTTTAAAAAATTTATGTACAGAATGTAAATGTTTTATGCATGGTGGGAGCAGGAGCATGGGTTCTTTGTTTCCTTGGTGCGTCTACACTATCTTACATTTTTAATTCTCTCTGTTTGTTTACTTCTTTAGTTCACTCATTAAAATTTCTGTACCCAGGTTATATAAACTAGCTAGCCGAAGAGCAATTTATAAAGGAATGAAGTTCACCAATCAATAAAATAAATATAGTTCTTCGTAATTAACTAACACCAATAGCTAGACTATGGACTTGAGTGCATGTTGTGTGCGCTCAATCGAAAGATAACATTGTATATGTAAAATAATCATGAAGTTAATTCATAGCATGTTACCTTAGAAAATTATAAATTAATTTTAAAAGCCAAATTGATACAGGTTTGGTTCTAACGTATGACTGTAATTGGCATTTTATTAATCGAACGTGTTAGCACATACATAATACAGTACTAAAGAAGGGAGTTGAGATTTATCCTCTGCATTTCCTAGTAAATTTTTGTAATTTCTTTATTTGTTTGGCTTTGCGTTTGGCAGAAGGATATTGTTGGACAAGGGCAGCTGAAAGGCAAGCCTCAAGACTACGATATAGATACTTGAAAGCAGTATTGAGGCAAGATGTGAGCTACTTTGATTTGCATGTTGGTAGTATTTCTGAAGTGATCACTAGTGTTTCAAATGACAGTCTTATCATTCAAAATGTAATAAGCGAAAAGGTATGCCTTCTCGTTATTTCAATTCTTTTCAAATTTCATTTATCCTCTTGGCTCCTGCAAGAAATTCAGGCAAGAGTTAGTGTATGAATGTATGATTCTCATTAGGCTCACTCTTATGGCGCATTTGGTAGGCGGTCATATATTGTAGGAATGATAATAGCCGTCATTGATTGAAATTGGAGACAGTATGCTGTAAAATTGTGATCTTTGACTAAAATAAACATGAGTTTAACTTTCAAATGCTGCCTCTGCTGATGTATTAGGTACCAAATTTTGTGATGAACACATCCTTATTTGTCGGAAGCTATGTGGCATCATTCTTATTGCTATGGAAGTTAGCAATAGTTGGCTTCCCCTTCATAGTTTTCCTAATTATACCGGGCTTGATGTACGGAAGGATATTGATGGGGTTAGCTAGGAAGCTAACTCTTGAGTACAATAAGGCTGCAAGCATTTCAGAGCAAGCAATTTCTTCCATAAAAAGAGTCTATGCCTTTGTTGGAGAACCCAAAACAATGTCTAAGTTCTCAACTGCTTTGGAGGGGTCAGTGAAGTTGGGAATCCGGCAAGGTTTGAAAAAAATCAAGCTTAAAGGTCGTGATTATGCTACTGCATATGGATTTTGTCAAGAGATCCTGTATTTAAAGAAGTTAAAGGGGAAGGATATTATTATCCAACTTATTGATTTTGAGGTAGGCACTCTTTAAATTCCAATTTATAATGTTTTTCTTTGCAGAATTAATGGTTTCTTTTGAGAATATAACAGACGTGGTTCCTGTAAAATTTAGTGTCTTATTTCAGTCATTAATATAATACGGAGTATCAATCAGTGATCTATTAGTGCTAGTTGCATGCTTAAGTAGGTTGGACGGTCTTTCTTTTATCCTCATTTCATCATACCACACTGAAGCTTACTCATCATGTTTACCTTAAGCATTTTTTTTTTTTCTCAAACAATGTTTACCTTAAGCTGAAATTAGTTATTATGCAAGATGAAGCAATAAATCAGCTATTGACATTTTGTTTAAAGAAAGGGAATTTAGAAAGAATCATTATTATTTCCTATGTTTCCCTTGGGACATACATTGATTGATTAAGCTTTGTTAGCACTGTCTTGTTCTAGGTTACGGATAAAGCTTTACTGCATGAAGTCATGAACGGCTCCATTTCTAACAAGGACAGCAGAGTTAAAGATCATGGATATATTTACATGGTTCTTGAGTATGGTGAAATTGATTTGGCCCACATGTTGTCTCAAAAGTGGAGGGAAATTGAAGGCACCAACTCAACTATGGATCAAAACTGGCTCCGTTTCTACTGGCAGGTTTGTGATCCTGTTTTTGGTATATTAAGCTTTGACAAGATTTGCTTTTTAATAAAGAATGAGTTACAGATTTCTGCTTAGTCAGGCTTAATAATACCCTATCGGCCTGTTTGGTAGGTAGTAAAAAAGTGTATTTAAGTGTAAAATAGAAAGCTTCATCCCAATGTATGTGACAATGCAACTAAACTTAGTATTGGGTGATAAAGGAAATTTAATATGAAGAAAAAGATATACTTTGGGGTAAGCTAGCATTACCATGGGCATTGACATATTACTTTTCCTTAAAGATTTACGAATACATTCTCATTACTACTCAGGTATGAATCATGTTACTTTTTAAGAAGTAGTTGCACCCAGTATTTTTCATGGTTATACTGTAAACTCTAAAACTGGAGTTCATGTAAGTGCTCAGATATCATGTATTGCTCATGCAGGTGGGTACATTGAGTTACATGAGAGTGATGCAAATGGGAATACTATAAAGTGACATATGGTCTCTTGGTTGCATTCTTTATCAAATGGTTTATGGAAGGACACCCTTTTCAGAATACAAGACATTCTGGGCCAAGTTCAAAGTAATCTCTGATCCCAGTCATGAAATCACATATGGCTTCTGGATCTTATGAAGAAGTGTCTTGCATGGGACCGTAACGAAAGGTGGAGAATTCCTGAGCACCCATTTCTTGTTCCTCCTATACAGCAGCAGTTGCCCCCTGCACTAGAGCAAAATTGTAAATTTACTCATGAGAATGTCCCAAGTCTGTGTTTAGAGTTCCAACAGCTACTAGAAGATCCAGCTACCATATCTCGAGATAATCAATTTAGGATACTATCGCAAATTTCAAGCATCTGTCAGCGACTTCAGGAACACCTCACAAAGATGAGCTAGTCTATATGTAGAAGAGGAATGTACAGTAGCAACATCTCTGCTAAGCATTTTGAATCACGTTCTCTTCTATACATAATATGTTTTGTGAATAAGTTCTGATTTTAATATTTTTTGTTATGGCGCCTTCCATCAGACTGATTGAATCTTAAATTATGGTTGTTGTACAATCCTGTAATCTCCATGAAATGAATGTAGCTCCTATTTACTCAAGAAATTTAAATGAATTATTGCACTGAAAATATTTTCTTTTTTGGTTTGGTTTGGGTCTTGTTCAATCCAAGTTCAATTTTTTTTTTTTTTTTTTTTTTTTTTTTTTTTGCAGATTACGGCATTGCATAATTTTGCATTACAACTTTTTACAAGTATATTTGTGTAAAGTGCACACCAATTCCTGACTTTTACAGAACCTTAAGTTCTGGCAAATTTTCACTTCATTTACAAAGTACTTATCATTTAAGCACTCCAGTAGATTCTGATCATATTCCGATCAAAAAAATTGATTGTTAATTATACTTTAATTGAAAGGATAAAATTTAATTGTAAACTGCAAACTTCAAACATGAACAGATGATAGTAGTGACGAGATAAGCACTCTGATAACTGAAAATTCAATGATCAATCATTGTACGCTATCATCTCCATCAGTCTTTGATGTCTTTCAAGTTAAAAATTAGTTTACATTTTTCTTGACAAACCGATAAACTAGCTCCATTTACAAATCATTAAGTCTTCTCTAATTCGAACTACGAGTACAAATAAATCAATGACATTTCAAGTACCCATTACCATAATCAAAATTTCAAATTGTACATTTGGCCATTAGTGAGGTTACAAGTGGAGCAAAGCAATGCCAACTGCCTATACAGAATTACAGAATCGCAAGAACAAAAGCTTGTGCTACTATGGAGCACTGAATAGCAGAATCCAATCTCCTCTGAAGGCAAGCGTTGTACTAATCTTTGCAGTGGAGACATATTCAGTCTTCATCAAGAGGTTTTAGTTTGAAAGAGGCTTCAGCACGGGCTTCCTCCAGCTTAAAAAGCAGCTCCTTTATAAAGGGTGTATTTGTCCCATGGGTCAGTCGCAAAATATCCACTGCCTTGGTTAATGATCTAACACAATTCGCAGTTTCACCAAGTAACCTGCATGCAAAGAAACACAAATTGCTCAACTTCAAAGATGTGGAACAAACAAACACAAATTGCTTTTCTCAATAAGGGATCAAAATACAAAAAACAATTCATCTTGGAAGAGCAGAACCTCTTGATCACAGTGAGGAACAACACATATTGTTTAACTTTTCAATAGACCATGTTCTTACCATTCAAGCTTTCCACATGTATAATATTGCAACCCAAGCATAGGATGACATCCAGGGTAAGCCTCTGCAAGACAATTCCAGAAAAGCTTGAGATAACCAGTCCAACCATTTGGGGGAGAGAGGGGGGTTGGAAGGTGAAGCATATAGGTATTAGGGATATTGAGGTTTACTTTCATACACAGGAATAGTCATTCTGCAATAATCCAGAGCATCCTTCCAGTTTTTCAGCTCCATGAACACCTAACATGGAGAAATACATCACATTAAAATCATCAAAAAATCAGTGTCATAGTTAGCTCAAGTTTTCTGATTTCTATTAGGGCTTTGTGAGTCTTCTGGAGATCCCATGTCTCCAGTATGTGTTTGTTTTGGTACTCTTTGACTTTAATCTTATTAAAGTAACAATTACACAATTATAACTTCATGCATTCTAAAACAAAGGCAAAACTTTTACATGTCTGAGGAATTAGTTAAAAAAAAAAAAAATCATATATTTCAGATTTTTGCTATAAATAGATTCCCCATGAATTATGCTGGACTTTAGATCGACTGCAAGGAATGAAAATACACAAGCCCATGATGAACCTTTAAGAGATGATCTCGTGTGCGCATTAGATTAAGAGATAGTGGATGGCATAATCTTATCTGTAGCTTTTCAACTGCCTTATACATAGAACCAGCTTCTTCATTATCTGAATTCTGTCAAAGAACCACCTCCAGTTGGATACAATAGAATGAGGAATAATATTATTTGTTGAGAAAGGGGAAGATGGAAAGGGGGAGTATAAACTATAAAGAAACAATGTCAACACTATACTACAAGATGTTAATAAAACTATTCTAGTTTCCAAAACAAACATCTGAAAGGATACTTCCCGATTTCAGGGATTCCTCAGCCTTTTCAGAAAAGGTTTTCACTTCACTTGCAATCTTTCTAAGATCTTCCAGTTTCCTCGCATGTCCACATTGTTGGCATATGAATGCCTTGTTTTCTGTATATCAGAAATTGACAGCTGATGTTAAGCATCCAAGTACTGTTCACGAACTTTCTAAAAAAAGTACTATGTTTATACCTGAATCCCTGAGCAAAAACCCCATGCATGCATTATTTTCACATCCATAACCTTCCAATATAGAACTTTCTCGAATATCTTCGCATTGCCCCTTTAATATGATACAATGGGTCAGTATCACAGTCAAACAACAGAAATTTCAAATAGCAAAGAGTAATTAGCTTGAGCCATAAACTTTGGGGTGATTAAGGAACAACGTCATAATTCAAGGCACTTACTAATTTAATGCAACGAGGACATGAGCAGCTGAATAAGTACTGTTCTTTTAGAGCCTTTTGTCGAGTCATGGTGCTTCCAGCAGTTTCTATATAACTTATTAGTACCTTCAAGAGCACCAGAAAATAACACTCAGACTTCATTATGTCTCTCTCGTTGTTTCTCTTTTTCCGTTTTTGGGGGATAGGGCTCAGATTGTATAACGCAAGGAGCGGACAGAAGGAAATAAGCATGATCTGTGCAATACTACTGCTACTATCACACTGTTTAAAGTAATTGCAGTATGCATAAGAAATGGAAGAGAACTAGTCAAAGGATATTTAGTACCTCAGTACCTTTAGGTATAGGTTGCACTGCACGAACCACAGCTTGTTTTCCCTCAAACATCAATACTGCATTTGGCAAGCAACTGAAATACTATAACCAATAAGCACTTGCAGTTACAATTGCACAAACAAACAAAAAAAAGTAGCCAAATTACCTGTGATTGATTATAGATATAACAGGATATAGTCCTATACCCAGAGGTCTAAGTTCTGAATCACATATACTATGTACATTGCAAGCAAGCTGCAACAACATAAAATAATGAGTATATGAGGGACAGGTCCAAACTCAGATTTAAGAATTTTGTAGTAATAAAAAATCGAATTATCTCTGAAGTATTGATTATGATAACCTATTTAACCTGAATTGGAATCTGAAAAACCTAGCATATGCTTGAGTGATACATGGATAGAAACATATTTACATAAGATTAATTGTTACAGGTGCTTTAGGTAGAACAAGTATCAAGCTGATGCCATTAAATAGCCATAACTTTTGCATATATTGGCTGCAAGTGGCTGAAAGTCTAAGCACTATAAAATTAAGAAATCAGTATCAGAGAATATCCAGGACGCATGCATTCCAATGACTATAAGCCAACTACAAGTTTCACCAGCAAACCTTGGAAAAGTTCTCTGCAACTTCTTTCAGTTTCAGGCCAGGCCACTGAAGTATCACATGAACAAGGTTGGCCATCTGTGCATATAAAACCAGCTGCTTGTCATCAATCTCAGTCATATCTTCAAAGGAAATATGGTTAAGCAAAACAACAGAGATTAGAACAAAGAAAAATTGGGTTGTTAAAACTAAAGTGACCATGAATTCCAGCTCCTTTTCTCAGTCAATAATTACTTTACTTCCTTTCCCAGTCACAAGACCCCCGCCCCCCCCCCCCACCTCTCCCTACTTAAAAAAGAGGTTTTTTCACGCACTTCGAGAGAACGCAAGAGGATACGAGATACTAATGCCTCCACCAAGTTGTAGTTGTCAGTCACAGTAGTTGGAATAACCTGCCAAAAAGAAAACAATTCCAAATCATGACAATTACTGCCAGGATAGCAATAGAGGTAAGAAGAAAAAACAAGGTACACAGAACAAGAACAATCTTAATGAGTATGCATTTGCAGGAATTAAATCAAGAACTTCATTACAGGTTATATTTTATAATAACATGGAGGTATGTAAGATACTCCACCTTTTCATCCTGCAGCTTTTTTCTCAAGTAAAGCTTAACCATCAAGCGTATAGAGGGAGTGAGGTGCTTTAACCTTTCCTTTTCAAGCTTTGAGAGTGCCTGGCATTCAACCCGATGGAACATCCAATCTGATTTCTGGCAAGGGAGCAACAAAAAACATTCTTTTCAGTTTTTCAGCATTGAACATCAAGTAAATATGATAATTGGATTAGGCAGAGATGATGATCAATTGATCATATATAGAATAAATCCATTTGATGCTTTCTCACTTTCTAGATGAACATATGAACATTCCAACCCGATTATTAGTGGTAGGTGATATAAGTAATTCCATCATTGCTTATCTACTACATTAATTCCATGCTATCAATAATTTGTTCCAGCACATATAGATTAGAACATTTTTATTTTTTGGTTGGGGAGTGTGGGGTTGGGGGAGAGTAAACAACAAACATTATTCTGAAATCTGAAATGCATAGAAAACATAGATAGTTTACATGGTATCTTCAATTGTCCTAAATTTGTTTACCTCTCGGAGTTATCCAAAACTAGCCTTTTTAAGAGTTGAATCAGAAATAGGAAACAGAAAAAGTACCTGACAAGTACTCCCACAATACCACACAAAATGACAAGCAGAGCATTTCTTGAGTTTAGCAGAGCAAAAACAGACTTCACATCTTGAGGCACCCGATGAATCTTTTGGCACAGAAACATAAGGTTGCTGGCTTATGATAATCTCGCCTGCACAGAAACAAAAGACACATGCTGATGAGAATCAGATAAGGAAAAATTTTAAAAAATGCTATAGCTAGTAGCATTTTTGGTTGGTAAGATGTACCATAGCAGATAAAAAATACGATTTGCATGAGGAAGAAGCCCAATTTAGTAGCATGTTTGGTTCAATATTAGTAAAAGAAAGGAACTATATCATCCAATGTTTGGTTTGACATTAATAAAGGAAGGGAAATGAGAGAAATATGTAGTTTGGTATGATATTAGTAGAAGGAGAAAACTAATTTAAGCTTAATAAATTTAATTTCTTTCTATCCCGTCAAATTCCTCGGAAATTTTCCTTCCATTTCCCTTCATTTCCTATCAAATCCCATATAATTTTTAGAACCGAACAAAGGAATTCATAATTTTGTTTTCCTCTCAATTCCTCCCAACCAAAAAGGGCCTAAAATTGAAATAAAAGCTGCAATTTGTGTTTCAGTAAACGAATAACAAAAGATGAATGATGAATGACTAATCATGGGTAGCAATAGAATGAATAACAAGAGGAATAGAGTGAAGTAATGCAGTTGCAGTAGAAATTTGGTCCTAATTACAGAGTCTAGTGGCTAGTATGGCGATTGTAGCAGCTGTTTGAGCAATTAATAGTTGAATTAAGACAGTGATTACCGAATTGATAAATATAAACATGACATGATTATAACAACAAAATGTGTTGATAGTCAGTTGTATTATACATTAAAAAATCAAAAATGACCTGGAGAAAATTGATTGGTGGTGAAAAGACAACGGCCTTTCTCCGGCGAAACTGAAACGGACAGCCCTAATTCCGATAGATGCCTCTGCAGCAGCTCCTCCTCCATGCTTCGACCTTCTTCTCTGATATAATAAACTCTTTCGATTCTATTCTATTCTATTCTCACATTAAATTACAGTTAACCCCTTCTAATCCGAGTGGCCCACGCAAAGTCCAGTCTATTTTATGATATTAGAATAAAAAAATATAAATATATAAGTAGGGTTGAAATTCAAAATATCAGGAATTAAGAGTAAAATGTTCCAGGATTTCCGAGTTTGTGAGTCACTCTTAATTATTGATCACCCGTAAAAGGTACAAAAAAAATTTCGAATCCAAAAAATATTAACAAAAAAAATATTTGATACAATCAACTTGATTTCAATCAAACAAATAAGACATAAAAATCAATATTACAAACTAAATAGTACTTAATTTCAGTTCATTTTTTTTAACCCTAATTTCAGTTCATTTGAATACAAATAATACAATCAAATATCAATTAAATCTGAAACAAATCAAACTATCAAAGTATCAAACAATAAGGTAAATAACCAACTAATCAAGACTACAAATTACCAATATTACCAAATAAAATTCAATTCAATTCAGTATTTCAACACCACAATGAACAATTTGTCAAGACTATGAAATTATAAATGCCTGAAATTATAAATAATTTAGTAATTAACACAACAATGAACAACAGATCAACAATTCTCTGCGGAAAATCTTGGGCCGAAAAAGATATTGCTAATTCTCTGTTTTCTAAAATTCAAATTCAACTAATAATACTACCTCTCAATTTCAACTTCCCAATGCGAATACCTCTCTTCGTCTTCAATCTCGATCAACCAAACCTTCGTTTCATGTCGATTCCTTCTTCAATTCTCTTTCTACTTGTCGTTTTGGACGCTTTCTCCTTTGGTCTCCTCGCTTGCCTTCTACTCACTACATCGTTTCAATATATCCCTCTTTCACTTTCTTTTTTTTTAATCTTATTATAATTACCAATTTCAGTTGATCAATTAAGTTAATTATTGTATTTTGTTCATGTAACAGTAATTTCAGTGAGCGATCAGTTTGTGTTGCTGATGTTCAATTGAAAGGCAAAGGTATTTCTATTGTTTTTAGCTTCAATTAATCCAGTTTATACTTTAAATTTACGTTTATTGCTATAAATAAATTCACTTTACATTATAACTCGTACTCTCAGTCTGTGTATAATGCAGCATTTTTAAACCAAAACATACTCAAACACACTCACTTTTTGATAGTGTAAATCACCAAAAATTGAGAATATAGAGTATGTGTTTAGTGTATTAATCTAAGTGTCAATTGACTTCCCTCATCTACTCTGTTGATACTTTATTAGAAATGTTGAAAACTAAAAAGTATTCTATTGTAGAATACTGATGATTCTATTATTCTTTCAGGTTTCAAACCTTTGGAGGAACTCTACTACCAGACTTGGTTGCACAGGTTAGATGCAGGTCCTATCTTGTTTAAACCTCAATTACTTAGAAAAGTTGCTTATACTGGTTGTCTTATATTGGTTTGCCTCAATAACCCTATCTTCTTGATTACTTTCGCAATTTACAAGTATTTGGACATTCATACCCCTTAGTTATTAATGGCTGCGGTAAGCCTTCCCTGTGGTATGTAGCAAACTAGCAATACTTTGTGGATATAAACTATTCGGAAGGTATGGATTGAATAATGTACAAGCATTTTTTTGCAAGTACTTTTTCTTGTTTTAACTGGATGACATTAGCAGGACAAAGGAGCAAATTGTTGCTGTTGCCTAAATAACGAATTTGACTGCACTATGCAAGCTTTTATTTCTTACATTTAAAGAACAAATGTGTTATGATATATGATAAAGTTTTGAGGATTTGATATGATTTGGTTAGGATACTTAGTTGGCAAAGATAAGATATATGTTAAGTAGATAATATTCTCAATATTTCTTGCCATAATTATCTTGTATTCTGATTATATATTGAGGCCAAGAACCATGAATGAAGGTAAACAAATATTATCGATTATTATTTCACATGGTATCAAGAGCCGGAATTTTTTTTTCACACACCATAATCTTTAGCTATGGCCGGTGATACACCGACGCCACCACCTCCACCATCATCGAAAATTGAACCAAACCCCCTGTTTTACCTAGGTTCGCAAGATCGTCCCGGTGATTTTATAATTCCGATTCGTCTTAAGGGCGATAACTATGATGATTGGGCTACAAATATTCGTATGGCATTGGAAGCTCGCTGGAAATATGAATTTTTGGATGGCACAATACGTGGTCCCTCCTTGTACTAAGTCGGATTGGAACACCATTAATGTAATGTTAGTATCTTGGATAACTAACGCAATTGATCCAGAAGTCAAATCCACCTTGACTAAATATCGAGAAGCCAAGAAGCTCTGGGATCATCTTCAACAGCGCTTCGCGTTGGTTAATGGTCCGCGAATTCATCAATTAAAGTCCTCCATTGCGAGGTGCTAACAGACGAAGTCCATGTCTGTTTCAACATACTACGGTCAGTTGAATGCTCTGTGGGAAGAATTTTATCGCCATGAACCCATTATTACTTGTACGTGCTATTCGAATTGCGATGTGGGTGAGTTACATGTCCAAAGACGAGAGACAGCTAAACTCCACAAATTCTTAATGGAGTTATACTCTGAGCACTATGCCTAATTGCGTGCTAATATTCTTTCTCAAGATCCTCTGCCTTCCATTGATAGAGCATATTAATTAGCAATTCAGGATGAGCGAGTTCGTCTCGCCAAAGCCATCCCCGATGAGAAGTCCTCGGAAGTAGTGGGTTTTGCTCTCAAAGCCACCACGGGAACTGGCCGTGGAAGGGGAAGAAGGAGTGACAGCTCGGTGTGCTCCAAGTGTCTGAAACCCGGTCATGATGCCTCCAATTGTTGGAGCAAACAGGTGTGCTCACATTGCAAGAAGCGTAGCCATGATGTAAGTGGCTGCTATGAGATTCATGGGTATCTAGAGGGCTGGTTTGATCAGCCCAAGACTGACGGTGCTGGCCGTGGTAGGGGGAGTGCGTATGGCAGAGGCCGTGGTTCAGTGCGAGCTAATGCCACAAGTAGCTAGCAGCAACATTGGTGCTCCGAGCAGTGGTAGTGGTGCCTCGGAGTCGAACTCCTCTAATTCAATCTTTACTCCTGACTAGTGGAAAGTAACTGCGGGTTTCTTTGGTAACACAAAGGTCCCTGACAATCGTTTGAATGGTAAGTTTAATACCAAAAAGTGGATTATTGATACCGGCGCAACGCATCATGTCACCGGTGATGAGACTTGGTTATTTGATATAACTGAGATTATGCAAATTCCTGTTGGTCTTCCCAATGGAGAAACCGTGGTTGCAAAGAAGGAAGGGTCGATTCGATTGTCGACCCCAATTACTCTTAAAATGTGTTATATGTTCCGCAATTGAGTTGCAATTTGCTTTCGGTTTCACAATTAATTGAAGATTTAAATTGTGATGTAAAATTTAATTCTTCTTTATATATACAGGACCAAACGGGGATGCTGATTGGAACGGGAGTTAGGCAAGATGGACTTTATTACTTCGGAGAAGCTGACTCGGTACAACATATTTCTGAGAATGGAGCAACCTCTTCGTTGGAGTTATGGCACAAAAGGATGGGGCATCCTTCACAACATGTAGTAAAGTTAATTCCCCCCTGTAGTTGATTTTAAGGGTAGTTTAAATAAATTATGTGAAGTTTGTTTCAAGGCTAAGCATCCTAGGGACAAGTTTTCGGTCAGTGATAGTAGAGTAAGTCGTATCTTTGAAAAAGTACATTGTGATTTGTGGGGTTCTTATAGGCATCCTTCGTCTTGTGGAGCTCGTTATTTTTTAACTATAGTTGATGATTATTCTCATGTCGTATGGGTTTATTTGTTGGATGATAAAACGGTAGTTTTCCGTACTTTTATGAGTTTCATTGCCATGGTTGATCGTCAATTCTCACAAATAATAAAAATTGTGCAAAGTGATAATGGTACGGAATTCAATTGTTTACGTGATTATTTTTCCGCTACTGGCATTTTATTTTACACTTCTTGTGTTGGGACACCACAACAAAATGACAGAGTTGAGCGAAAACACAAACATATTTTAAATGTAGCCCGTGCCATACGATTTCAAGCTCATTTACCGATTTATTTTTGGGGAGAATGTGTTCTCACCGCTGCCCATTTAATTAACCGGACCCCAACTCCTTTGTTACGGAATAAAACACCCTTTGAAATTTTATTTGGCTTTCCACCATCTTATAATGTCATTCGCACTTTTGGTTGCCTATGCTTTGCTCACAATCAAAAAACGAAGGGGGATAAGTTTAAGAGTCGTAGTAGAAAGTGTGTTCTCTTGGGGTATCCGTTTGGTAAGAAAGGGTGGTCCTTATATGATCTCGAGAAGCGGGAATTCTTTTTGTCACGGGATGTGAAATTCTTTGAGAATGTTTTTCCGTTTATTGATGCAAATATGCACCACTAGAAAACAGTCAATCAACGACGGAAAAAATCCGTCGAAAAACCTTGAAATTCCGTCAGAAATGCCCTTTTCCGACGGAATTCCGTCGGAAAGCATGTCGGAATTCACTTTGTAGGAATTTCGCGATATTCCGTCGGAAAGGTCTATTCCGACGGTTATGTTCTGTCGACGCTTTTGTTGACTTTAAGTGAAAATCCATCGCAAGGTTCCAACGGAAATTTCCGTTGGAATAGGATATGTTCCGACGAAAATTTCCGCCGGTGGGGGAGATGTTCCGATGGAATTTTCCGTCATAAAAGGTATATTTCGACGGAAAATTCCGTCTAAAAAGTAAATAAAAAAAATTAAAAAAAAGGCACCACAATCCCCGCCCAGATCCACCTCCGCCACCAGCCCACACCACCCACCACGTCCCCAACCCTTTTTCCCATACCCAGACCCCCCACCCCACCCCACCCCACCCAAACCTAGACCCATCTCCCCACCCAGACACCCCACCCAAACCCACCAAACCCAACCCAGAACCACCAAATAACCCACCAAACCTCCCCCATGCCACCCACACCACCACAACCCCACCCCATAACCACCGACACCACCAGAACAACCCACCCCACCACCACTGACATCACCACACCACCACCATTAACCCTAAAAAACGGAAAAAACCCCAAATAATTCAAAAAACCAAAATTAAACAAGGAAAATTAATAGAAATGTATAAATATATAATTGTCAAATAAATTTTATAAATTAACATTACAATTACATATACAATTAACTAGATCTAAACACAAACCTAAATTACAAGATCTACAATTGATGTTTAGGTTGTTGTTGATGAAACTAAGTCAAGCCTCGTTTCGACGTCGAACCTCAGTCGTTCCCGGAAAATTCATCGGAAAACTGGAGCCGTGAGTGAGGGAAGCTGTTTGTGGGTTACGGTGAAAGCTTCGGTGAGTGAGTGAGGGAAGCCATTTATGGGTTGGGTTGCTGTGAAAGAGGAGGTGAGGAGAAAGAAAGAAAGGAGGAGAGGAGAGAGAAAGAGAAATGAATAGGAAGAGATGCAAAAGGGGCGGGGAGAGAGAAAGATAAATGAAAAGGGAAGGGAGTAGGGGGTCCGGTTTTAGTGTATGGGTTTATTTTTGTTTTTTTTTTCTTTTCTAAAAAAATTTCCGTCGGAAAAGGTCTAAATTCCGTCGGAACTTTTCGACGGAATTAAAATCCGTCGGAAATTTTCTTACGGATTTAAAACCGTAGGAAATTAATAGGTTCCGCCGAATTATTTTCCCTCGAAATTTAAATCTTCTGACGGAATTTTCCGTCGGAAGCAGTAAATTCTGAGGGATAAAAAATTCGTCGAAATACTTCTGAGGGATTTTCCGTCGCAACTTATATTTTCTGACGGATTTTTTTGACAGACCAAATTCCGTCGAAATATTCGAATTTTCCAACGGAATTTAAGTCCGTTGGAACAAATCCGTCGGTAAACGGCCTATTTCTAGTAGTGATGGTGAATATTAAGCCATAAAGGGTTGTCCCTATGTGTGATGATGTCGTGATAGACGACGATTTTCTTGATGATGCTAGCCCAGGGGATACGACACACCATGGCTCTCCATCAAGTGTTGGATGCCTGGCAAACCAGCAGGGCTCTCCCACTGCCCAGCCCACTGGCCGACCAGCTCTTGAGCAGCAGCACTAGCCGAGGTAGCAGGGCTAGCCACAGAAGTAGCATGCACAGCCGAGGCAGCAGGGCCAGCCAGACAACAGCTCACTCAACCCCTGCACTCGCACAGTACCGACCCTCTAGGCAGTCAGCAGTCAGGGGATCCGGCTAAATTGGGAAGGGGTTTGCGTGTTAAAAGTCCATCGGTTCTTTTACGAGATTATGTGACTCATATTGTTATTGCCAAAAGTCCATCTTCGCCTACACCGCTTCCGCAGCAAAAGTCAGGTACCCCGTATCCTATAGCGCACTACATTAATTGTGATAATTTTTCTGTCAATTACCGTCATTTTTTGGCAGCCATTATTTCGAGTAATGATCCGAAATCTTTTAAGGAAGCAATGAGGCATGAAGGTAGGCGGAAATCAATGCAAGAAGAGATCCGAGCCTTAGAAGATAATGGGATTTGGACATTGGAGGAGTTGCCCCCCGAAAAACATGCACTTGGTAGCCAATGGGTCTATAAGACCAAATATTTATCCAACGGTGATGTTGAACGATTGAAGTCAAGATTGGTAATTTTTTGCAATCATCAAACCGAGGGCATTGACTACAATGAGACTTTCGCTCTGGTAGCAAAGATGACAACTATCCGAGCTTTCTTAGCAATAACTGCCTGCAAGAATTGGATACTACATCAGATGGATGTGCATAACGCATTTTTACATGGTGACCTTGACGAAGAGGTGTACATGAAATTGCCCCCCGGGTTCGAAAGTAAGAATCCGAAATTGGTGTGCCGATTGCAGAAGTCACTGTATGGTTTGAAGCAAGCTCCACGTTGCTGGTTTGCCAAGCTGGTTACAGCTCTGAAAGGGTACGGGTTTCTTCAATCCTACTCTGATTATTCATTATTTACATTCACTAAAGGGCAGATTCAAATTAATGTGTTAGTTTATGTAGATGATTTGATTATCCCTGGGAATGATTCCGCTGCAATATTGGCCTTTATGGCCTATTTGGGTGATTGTTTTAAAATGAAAGATCTAGGGCCCTTAAAATATTTTCTTGGAATTGAGGTTGCACAGAGTGCGACGGGTTTATTTCTATGTCAGCGTAAATATACGCTAGACATAATTTCTGAGGAAGACTTGACAGGTGCAAAGTCTAGTGATTTTCCAGCTAATCTCCTATTTCATGGAAGACAAAGAAGTAGCCTACAGTTTCTACGTCATCGTCAGAGGCTGAATATCGTTCTATGGCAGCAGTAACTTGTGAACTGAAGTGGTTAAAAGGTTTGTTATTGAGCTTGGGGGTACAACATCCCATAGTCATACCATTGTTTTGTGATAGTCAGTCGGCTCTACATATTGCTAAAAATCCGGTTTTTCACGAAAGAACCAAACACATCGAGGTTGACTGTCATTTTGTGCGCGATGCCATTACAGATGGTACTATCGCTCCTTCATATGTTCCTACAAATTCCCAGCCGGCAGACATTTTTACGAAGGCACTTGGCAAGCGACAGTTTGATTTTCTATTGTCCAAGTTGGGCATTTTTTATCCCCACCATGCTCCAACTTGAGGGGGGGAGGGGTGTTATGATATATGATAAAGTTTTGAGGATTTGATATGGTTTGGTTAGGATACTTAGTTGGTAAAGATAAGATATATGTTAGGTAGATAATATTCTCAATATTTCTTGCCATAATTTTCTTGTATTCTGATTATATATTGAAGCCAAGAGCCATGAATGAAGGTAAGCAAATATTATCGATTATTATTTCACAAAATGGGTTGAGCGTATTTTTTTATTTGCAGCCTTCATTAAATATTTAAAACAGGATGCACAAATATGCATTGGGATCAGGCATAAACCATATATATTTGAACTATATAGATCCTCCAAAAGCTTAAGGTGCATGCAGGATTGCAGCTTCAAGGGTTGCAATGAGACTGTTGGTCAAGTGTGTATAAATGTAATACTGCATATTGATCAACTTCTTGAGTATCTTTAGCTGGAAGTATAGTGTCCTCTGATTGGTTTTTATTCAATAAATATCTTTATTCCCCTGAATTTCTTGATGAATTCTTCTAGGGACAAAAATCCTTGTCAATTTCCGGAGCAAGAATACTTCTATGTGTTCAAATGTGAATTTTGCTGGTTCATTGGGCTTTATTTCTAATCATTGCTCTTAAAGAACACATCTTGTAAAAACTCTTTGACTAATGATATGAATAATATTATGTTTAGTTCTTAATCACCCATATAGTTCGCATTCAAGTAAAGTTTCTCGGCTCTCTACAGACAAATTCAGTTGTATTGACTTGATATTCTTTTGTTGTATACCTGCAGTGGACAAAGAGTTGTTGTACAGGATACACGTGAAGGCCAAACAGTGGATAATGCTGCTACTATTCAGGTAATACTTCAAAGCAATGCATATACATGTCTATAAAAGGATAATGTCAATCATGTGTCCTGGTCTTGTACTTCCATTCCTTTAATATTCTTTATATGGTTATGCATGCACGGCAAGATCTTTGAAAGATAATGAGAAAAACAAAATTATTAGTTTGGAAATTTTGTCAACAACTACCAATTCAAGCCTCTGTTTTGAAAACAACTACCTTTTAATTTTTTTTTTTAAAACAACTAACACAAACTTGTAAAAAGTTAGAGTAGCACTACCACTCTTAAATTTCCGGCTAGAATCTCCAATGAGGGGGTCCCACTTTATACCTTTCCCTCCAATATGACCATCTGAAATTGCCTAATTAAC